GTGCCGGGGGACCCCCGCAAGGGAGCGAGGGGGGCGGCCGAAGGGGACCCAGCGAGGCCGACCCCGCGGAGAGGAGAGCCGAGTGGGCGGGAAGGGGGTGCGGAGGTGGAGGAGGTGGAGGAGGAGGAGGTGGAGGAGGTGGAGGAGGTGGAGGAGGAGGAGGTGACGTGAAGGTGGCGACAGGTAAGGCGGTGGCCATGTGGTGGTGGTGGTGCGTGCTCGCTAACAGCACTTGCCCCAACAGTTTGTTAAGGCTACACGGGGGATCTTTGTCTTTGTTTTTATGATGGTGGTGGTGCGTGCTCCCTAACAGCACTTGCCCCAACAGTTTGTTAAGGCTACACGGGGGATCTTTGTCTTTGTTTTTATGATGGTGGTGGTACGTGCTCGCTAACAGCACTTGCCCCAACAGTTTGTTAAGGCTACACGGGGGATCTTTGTCTTTGTTTTTATGATGGTGGTGGTGCGTGCTCCCTAACAGCACTTGCCCCAACAGTTTGTTAAGGCTACACGGGGGATCTTTGTCTTTGTTTTTATGATGGTGGTGGTGCGTGCTCCCTAACAGCACTTGCCCCAACAGTTTGTTAAGGCTACACGGGGGATCTTTGTCTTTGTTTTTATGATGGTGGTGGTGCGTGCTCCCTAACAGCACTTGCCCCAACAGTTTGTTATGGCTACACGGGGGATCTTTGTCTTTGTTTTTGATGATGGTGGTGGTGCGTGCTCGCTACCGGCACTTGCCCCAACAGTTTGTTAAGGCTACACGGGGGATCTTTGTCTTTGTTTTTGATGGTGGTGGTGCACGCTATCGGCACTTGCCCCAACAGTCTGTTACGGGCTACACGGGGGATCTTTGTCTTTGTTTCTGATGGTGGTGGTACGTGCTCGCTAGCAGCACTTGCCCCAACAGTCTGTTACGGGCTACACCGGGGATCTTTGTTTTTGATGGTGGTACGTGCTCGCTACCGGCACTTGCCCCAACAGTTTGTTAAGGCTAGACGGGGGATCTTTGTCTTTGTTTTTGATGGTGGTGGTGGTGCACGCCATCGGCACTTGCCCCAACAGTCTGTTACGGGCTACATGGGGGATCTTTGTTTTTGATGGTGGTACGTGCTCGCTAGCAGCACTTGCCCCAACAGTTTGTTAAGGCTACACGGGGGATCTTTGTCTTTGTTTTTGATGGTGGTGATGGTGGTACGTGCTCGCTATCGGCACTTGCCCCAACAGTCTGTTACGGGCTACACGGGGGATCTTTGTCTTTGTTTTTATGGTGGTGGTGGTGCGTGCTCGCTAGCAGCACTTGCCCCAACAGTCTGTTACGGGCTACACGGGGGATCTTTGTCTTTGTTATTGATGGTGGTGGTGGTACGTGCTCGCTAACAGCACTTGCCCCAACAGTCTGTTACGGGCTACACCGTGGATCTTTGTCTTTTTTTCTGATGGTGGTGGTACGTGCTCGCTAACAGCACTTGCCCAAACAGTTTGTTAAGGCTACACGGGGGATCTTTGTCTTTGTTTTTGATAGTAGTGATGGTGGTACGTGCTCGCTAGCTGCACTTGCCCCAACAGTCTGTTACGGGCTACACGGGGGATCTTTGTTTTTGATGGTGGTACGTGCTCGCTACCGGCACTTGCCCCAACAGTTTGTTAAGGCTACACGGGGGATCTTTGTCTTTGTTTTTGATGGTGGTGATGGTGGTACGTGCTCCCTACAGACACTTGCCCTAACAGTCTGTTACGGGCTACACGGGGGATCGTTGTCTTTGTTTTTGATGGTGGTGGTACGTGCTTGCTAACAGCACTTGCCCCAACAGTCTGTTACGGGCTACACGGGGGATCTTTGTCTTTGTTTTTGATGGTGGTGATGGTGGTACGTGCTCGCCACAGGCACTTGCCCCAACAGTCTGTTACGGGCTACACGGGGGATCTTTGGTTTTGTTTCTGATGGTGGTGGTGGTACGTGCTCGCTAGCGGCACTTGCCCCAACAGTCTGTTACGGGCTACACGGGGGATCTTTGTCTTTGTTTTTGATGGTGGTGGTGGTACGTGCTCCCTACAGGCACTTGCCCCAACAGTCTGTTACGGGCTACACCGGGGATCTTTGTTTTTGATGGTGGTACGTGCTCGCTAACAGCACTTGCCCCAACAGTCTGTTACGGGCTACACGGGGGATCTTTGTCTTTGTTTTTGATGGTGGTGGTGGTACGTGTTTGCTAACAGCACTTGCCCCAACAGTCTGTTACGGGCTACACGGGGGATCTTTGTCTTTGTTTCTAATGTTGGTGGTACGTGCTCGCTAACAGCACTTGCCCCAACAGTCTGTTACAGGCTACACGGGAGATCTTTGTTTTTGTTTTTGATGGCGGTGGTGGTGCGTGCTCGCTACAGGCACTTGCCCCAACAGTCTGTTACGGGCTACACGGGGGATCTTTGTTTTTGATGGTGGTACGTGCTCGCTACCGGAACTTGCCCCAACAGTTTGTTAAGGCTACACGGGGGATCTTTGTCTTTGTTTTTGATGGTGGTGATGGTGGTGCGTGCTCGCTACAGGCACTTGTCCCAACAGTTTGTTAAGGCTACACGGGGGATCTTTGTCTTTGTTTTTGATGATGGTGGTGGTGCGTGCTCGCTACCGGCACTTGCCCCAACAGTTTGTTAAGGCTACACGGGGGATCTTTGTCTTTGTTTTTGATGGTGGTACGTGCTCGCTAGCGGCACTTGCCCCAACAGTTTGTTAAGGCTACACGGGGGATCTTTGTCTTTGTTTTTGATGGTGGTGGTGCACGCTATCGGCACTTGCCCCAACAGTCTGTTACGGGCTACACGGGGGATCTTTGTCTTTCTTTCTGATGGTGGTGGTACGTGCTCGCTAGCAGCACTTGCCCCAACAGTCTGTTACGGGCTACACCGGGGATCTTTGTTTTTGATGGTGGTACGTGCTCGCTACCGGCACTTGCCCCAACAGTTTGTTAAGGCTAGACGGGGGATCTTTGTCTTTGTTTTTGATGGTGGTGGTGGTGCACGCCATCGGCACTTGCCCCAACAGTCTGTTACGGGCTACACGGGGAATCTTTGTTTTTGATGGTGGTACGTGCTCGCTAGCAGCACTTGCCCCAACAGTTTGTTAAGGCTACACGGGGGATCTTTGTCTTTGTTTTTGATGGTGGTGATGGTGGTACGTGCTCGCTATCGGCACTTGCCCCAACAGTCTGTTACGGGCTACACGGGGGATCTTTGTCTTTGTTTTTATGGTGGTGGTGGTGCGTGCTCGCTAGCAGCACTTGCCCCAACAGTCTGTTACGGGCTACACGGGGGATCTTTGTCTTTGTTATTGATGGTGGTGGTGGTACGTGCTCGCTAACAGCACTTGCCCCAACAGTCTGTTACGGGCTACACCGTGGATCTTTGTCTTTTTTTCTGATGGTGGTGGTACGTGCTCGCTAACAGCACTTGCCCAAACAGTTTGTTAAGGCTACACGGGGGATCTTTGTCTTTGTTTTTGATGGTAGTGATGGTGGTACGTGCTCGCTAGCTGCACTTGCCCCAACAGTCTGTTACGGGCTACACGGGGGATCTTTGTTTTTGATGGTGGTACGTGCTCGCTACCGGCACTTGCCCCAACAGTTTGTTAAGGCTACACGGGGGATCTTTGTCTTTGTTTTTGATGGTGGTGATGGTGGTACGTGCTCCCTACAGACACTTGCCCTAACAGTCTGTTACGGGCTACATGGGGGATCGTTGTCTTTGTTTTTGATGGTGGTGGTACGTGCTTGCTAACAGCACTTGCCCCAACAGTCTGTTATGGGCTACACGGGGGATCTTTGTCTTTGTTTTTGATGGTGGTGATGGTGGTACGTGCTCGCCACAGGCACTTGCCCCAACAGTCTGTTACGGGCTACACGGGGGATCTTTGGTTTTGTTTCTGATGGTGGTGGTGGTACGTGCTCGCTAGCGGCACTTGCCCCAACAGTCTGTTACGGGCTACACGGGGGATCTTTGTCTTTGTTTTTGATGGTGGTGGTGGTACGTGCTCCCTACAGGCACTTGCCCCAACAGTCTGTTACGGGCTACACCGGGGATCTTTGTTTTTGATGGTGGTACGTGCTCGCTAACAGCACTTGCCCCAACAGTCTGTTACGGGCTACACGGGGGATCTTTGTCTTTGTTTTTGATGGTGGTGGTGGTACGTGTTTGCTAACAGCACTTGCCCCAACAGTCTGTTACGGGCTACACGGGGGATCTTTGTCTTTGTTTCTAATGTTGGTGGTACGTGCTCGCTAACAGCACTTGCCCCAACAGTCTGTTACAGGCTACACGGGAGATCTTTGTTTTTGTTTTTGATGGCGGTGGTGGTGCGTGCTCGCTACAGGCACTTGCCCCAACAGTCTGTTACGGGCTACACGGGGGATGTTTGTCTTTAGGTTTTTGATGGTGGTACGTGCTCCCTACAGACACTTGCCCCAACAGTCTGTTACGGGCTACACAGGGGATCTTTGTCTTTGTTTTTGATGGTGGTGGTACGTGCTTGCTAACAGCACTTGCCCCAACAGTCTGTTACGGGCTACACGGGGGATCTTTGTCTTTGTTTTTATGGTGGTGGTGGTGGTACGTGCTCGCTACAGGCACTTGCCCCAACAGTCTGTTACGGGCTACACGGGCGATCTTTGTCTTTGTTTCTGATGGTGGTGGTGGTACGTGCTCGCTAGCGGCACTTGCCCCAACAGTCTGTTACGGGCTACACGGGGGATCTTTGTCTTTGTTTTTGATGGCGGTGGTGGTGCCTGCTCGCTACAGGCACTTGCCCCAACAGTCTGTTACAGGCTACACGGGGGATCTTTGTCTTTGTTTCTAATGGTGGTGGTACGTGCTCGCTAACAGCATTTGCCCCAACAGTCTGTTACGGGCTACACGGGGGATCTTTGTCTTTGTTTTTGATGGTGGTGGTGGTACGTGCTCCCTACAGGCACTTGCCCCAACAGTCTGTTACGGGCTACACCGGG